GGGCCTCTTCCAAGCAGACGACGACGTCGCCAACCTTCTCCCTGCCGACCTGAGCCCTCTAACGCCGGCGTGCCACCTCCCGCACGAGATGACCCTCGGTGACCTCTGGGTCGCGGAGCTCCGCCTCCCCGCGCGCACGACCCGCGCCACGACCCTCGGCGCGCTGCCGCGTCACGTGACGCTGCACGCGCTCGGTTTCGCCGACGCCGACGTCGCCGCGGCGAAGGACGCCGTCCACAGGTGGCGCCACGTGCGGTGCGGGCCGCTGTACCGCGACGCGATGCCCGCTGCGATCGGCGCGGCGACGGCGCTGCGCGAGCTTCCGGCGGACATGACAGTGGAAGACCTCGGGGTTGCCGCCGCGTGTCTCCCGCGCGGCGTCGCTGCGGACGCGCGCTTGTCGTCGCTGCCGCGCGACCTCGTCCTCGCCGACCTCGGCTTTGCAGACGGAGACGTGAGGAGGCTGAGGGACGCGGCGAACAGGAGCTACCAGCTGCGACACCGGCGGCTTTACGTCGATGTCACGCCGGCGGATTTCAGCATCGAGACGACGTTGCGCGAGTTGCCGCGGGAACTCACTCTGGGAGAGCTGGGGGTCGGCGCCAGCCACGTCCCGCAGGGAGCCTCCTTGGATACGACTTTGAAGGAACTTCCGGCGGAGTTGACGATGCGCGGGCTGGGATTCGAGGACGCGGATGTGCCGGCATTGCGGGATCGGATTAATCAGCGTTGTGCACTGCACCACAGTCCCGTTAACGGACGAGCGATTCCCGTGGACGCTACGGCTGATCTCCAGATTTGCAATCTGCCTCGCGACATGACGTTGCAAGATCTAGGAATCACCGAGGAGCAGGTTCCGGAAGGCCTCACGATTCGCACTCCGGTGGGAAGTCTTCCGCAGCATGTCACTCTCAGAGATCTCGGATACACGGATGCTGACATCGCGGAGTTAGTCCACCGAGCCAATAAGGCTTACCAGAAGAATCGCGGAAATGTCTACAGCAATGTTTTGCCGAGGGACCTGAGTGTTCACACAGCACTGAATGATCTCCCATCGGAGCTAACACTAAGGCAGATTGGTTTGACTGAAGCTCAAGTAGATAGGAAATTCTCGGTAGACAAACCGCTGAGTCAGTTGCCCCAAAATCTGACGTTGACACAATTGGGTGCTCAGGCCAATAACATCTCTGGCATAGCAGCACGGATTATACACAGTTGCCAGGCAATCCATGGTCCGATCTACTGGGACGTCATGCCCATCGAGTTGTCTCCGGAAACAACGCTGAACGCACTGCCACAAGACATGACTCTTGGGGATCTTGGTGTGAGAAGAGAGCACTTTCTGCCGGGTTCTGTCGAGAGCACGAGCATTTCGGAGCTCGATGGAGAGATCACGCTCCAACGACTTGGCTTCACGGAAGCGGACATGATGCTGCTGAGGCAACGCGCCAACCAGAACTACCAGCTGCGCAGGGGTCCACTAGACATAACTAGCAGCACTTTCATACGAAACCTACCGGAACACCTAACGCTCGGAGAATTGGGATCGTCGCGAGACGCCATGCTACTCTTACTACCCTCGTGGGTCACGGAAAACACCGCCCTTTACGAACTGCCGGCCGACCTTGGGGAGCTGACCTTGGCTGACCTTGGCATCGAGAGTGGGGCCGCGCTGGAGAGGGTTGCGCGAGCGGTCAAGCCCGCGCTGCACGCGCGCGACCGCGAGGCCGTGTTTTACGGCGGCACGAGGATTCACTCGGACATGAGCGTCGCTGACCTTCCCGCTGACCTTACCCTTGAGATGCTGGGTGTGGATGTGTCCGCGGTGGCCAAATATTATGTAAGCAGATCCATCAATGCACACACGTATCGTCGCATCTACGTCGGTTTTGTCAACAAATTTTCTCGCTGGATGAATTTCTTTTATTTTACTAGAGGAATGCACCAAGAATGCTCCTTTAAGTACGTCATCGTATGTTTTATCGGTCATTTGAAACGGGGGAAGTTCTAATGTCTGTTTAGATTTTTTTAAGTGTGTAATTATGTGTTATCTAGTTGTGAAAGGTATTTTGAATAAACGCTACTGCTTTGTTGTTTGTGTTTTGTCTCCCGAGAAGGCAGCGGAGAAAAGAGTGCCCACGCACACCACGTTGGCCGAATTGGGTATTACTGCCGAACGAATACAACAACTGATGGTACGTTTTCGTAATTTAACCTGCCTAAAAAAATACCCGCCCTAAACAATACAAACAGACTCGTTGACGGGTATTGCAGTCAACATGGTAGCCAAGATAATCAGCGATCGATTAACATAATTGTTGCTAATCGTGTATAAAATTGCCCGTTGGATGTTTCTGATATTGTTTACGATGTGCTGTCGACGTCTAGAGAATCGTGTATAATATTGCCAGTTGGACGACACGGGG